ATCATTATCATTATCATCATCATCATCATTATCATTATAATCATCATTCGATCATTATCGTTATCATCATCATTATCATCATCATTATCATTATCATCATCATCATCAACATTATTATTATTATTATCATTATTGAAAGAATTAATACAAATAATATGGTGAATGAGGGCATATTTATTTGACAACAAATAAATAGTATAAAACAAATCAGTAGACCAACTTGTAAACTAGTTTCAGAATACCAAGCAGCATGACCCCAGTATTGACAGACAAAGATGATGCGTTGGCCTTAACTTGCCCAGCTATGTCTACGATTCTGCTCATACGTTTACCGTCTGCTGACCTGAAATATCCAGAAAGATTTCAACTTTATTTTCTGAGTAAGATAGCCAGGATGCATTGTGGTATAGCTTGGGTATAAACAACTATATGAGGTAAGATCAAGAACTGAAGCTATTTGTACCCAAACTGGACCAAAATCCACCACATTTTCTGTGGATCGAAGCGCTCCTATATTCAAGCATTTCATTTCGCGCGATATTTGTGAGGAAGAATCGTACCTCCCAAATAAGCCTTAAATTAAGAACATTTAAAAACCGGAAAAAGCATACCAAGTTGCCAATTTGCTGTTTCTGTGGATCAATGTTTTATCTGTAACATCTTGCCATATTTTGCCATCATCGTCGGAGTACTTGATTTTCAGGCCTGGAAGTGATGTCCTAACTCTGATTTTGTTCCCATCAAGGCTTAGGAAGGAAAATCAAATTAAGAGAGAGATAAGTTTTATATCCTAAGGATTTGACTCAGCGACGCAGATTAATTCGCCGAGAAAACAAGAACATGCAGAGGTACAAAGCGCAAACGCAAAAAAACCGGGGGATGGGAGGGGGGGAGGAGGAATTGGCGGTCCTTGTAAGGTTTAAAATATTTCCTGTGTAAGCCTTTTAGGGATTCCGATTCAAAAGTCAGTAACGTAACATAGCTGGTGCAAAAGGTTATTCCAAGAGCTAAAATGAGTAACTTGTAAGGGTGGCTCCATAAAGGTTTTGCACCATAGTGCGGTTTTCGAAAAGTTTTTTTTGAAAAGTTTACGGCACGAACACGGTCGTGACACAGCAAGGCATACGCCAGACCAATCACATTGTACGAGAATTTACTCTCCATCCAATCAAATACCCGGAACACGGCATAAACACGGCGCAGACACGGTCACGCCAAGATCACGGCACTTTTAGACCAATCACATTGCGCGTGAAAAAAAATCAGCCAATTAGAATTCTAGAAAGCATCACGGTCACGGCACGTCACGCTTACGGCACTGAGCTTTCACAGTCATACGAAAACTGCTCTAATCCAGCTTGGGCTGCCTGTGGTTAGATGACAGAACAATAAAATCCCTTTGCTCTCGGGAATTGAATTCTTCCTCACGTGAAATGATTGTATTGTTCCTGCCATCTAACATGCCTGCCGTCACGTGATGGTGCAAAACCTCTATACCCCAAGTACAAAAAACCTTTATTTTGAAGATGTCATGAAAAGGTCTGTTGCAAAAACACCAATGAATAGCCGTTATTTTAAAGAGGGTAGATACAGGGCGAAATCATTGAAGGCACCAAGGATTTAATCAAATAGTTCAATAGACTCGAGTTCCAAATCAGTACCGCTGTGTTCCTTGATGACAGACTCATTTACACAGGGTTAGCCTCGTGTCAGTGTCTAAATATTTACAAATACCAACGGTAAAGTAAAGAATGCACAACTTCAACACCACAAACACTTTGAAATTCCACGGACCTTGACTGGAACACATGAATATTCTATACAAAACCGAGTCTAACCCTGAGCAATAGAGAACTAGAAACTGGAGTATTCGTCTGGTCTTGCTTTGTGCAATCTTTCCCCATTTTAAACCACGTGTCATTTTCTTGAGAATAAGATTTTTTGTTTGAGCTGTATCCATATTCATGTGTCTTCTCATGTACAACCATTAAACAAAGAAATGATACTCTAGGGAATGACACGTGGTCTTGAGAATAAGATTCTTTGTTTGAGTTGTATCCATATTCAATTGTCTTCTCATGTGCAACCGCTAAACAAAGAAATGATACTCTAGAGAATGACATGTGGTCCTGTAATGGAAAAACATTGCACCACAACAAATCAGGTCTTTTTCTCCCCAAAAGCGGAAAAGCGCCCGCAAAAGTTCTTCTTTGAACCCCGTTACTGAAACGCTAGGTTTTTGGCGCGAATTTCTCTCCGTCTGTGTCTTCCTTAAAATTTATATTTACAAACCTTGCCCCTGGGGGAGGGACATAGTACTTGACACCCATCTTGTCCAATCTTGCCATTTCTTTTTGTCCCAGAAGGTTAGCAAACTGTTTCCAATTTTCTGTCCTCTTCTTGTTTCTTTCATTTCTATCACTCATGCCTTCCCACGATGCCTTGTGCCACGCACGTTCAGCGATCGCTAAGAGTCTCGGGTAAATCATGCTGTCCATTTGGTCAGCGGTGCGCACAGTCTCAGTCCACAGGGCTCCCGCCATACCTAAAATACAACCGATTTATCATTTGTTCTATAAACGATTAAATCTCTGCAAACGATTTTCTAGGTTAATGAGATTCTGCGCACACAATATTTTGCGTGCGCGGTTGCAATCAGAAAATGTGCTAATCTGCTTACTAATACGGCACGGTTCCCTACCTATCAAAGCTTGTGTGTTAACTTAAGTACATAGCAAAGTCAATTAAATATCTGTCTTGCGCGCGTGTTAGTTCGCGTTAGCAACTGTGCTCTGCTTACTAATACAGCACAGTTCTCGACCAATCAGAGCGCGCGTACTATTTAAACTAAATAGTTAAAACGATTAAAACTCTACGACGGATTTTCGATCTACGCCAATAAGATTATGCGCAAAATATATTTTAAACAAAATACAGCTATTTCAAAAAGGTTGAATGACTGAATACTTAATAGTTCATTCCAAGACCGAAGTGCATTGTGGGTCATAGTGACATTGTCTATAAAGTAGGATTAATAATTATTATTTATTCTATTTTTAGTGCATTCCATCTGAAACAATATACTAACTACATGTAGAGAGTTAATTGCTGTATATTTACTTTTTATTTCAGTATTGAGTATGCAGTATTCAGTATTCAACCTTTTTTTAAATAGCTGTATACATTTGTCTTTTACGATAGATTGGTGAGGCTCAACCCCTTCTCATTGTAGAAAACACAACTTTTTTTAAATAACTGTATACAAGAAATGACAGCGGTACCCACCAACGATATTTTCTGTGTTTTTCAAATCGACGCACATGTTTGGATCTTTACACAACTCTTCCCTGGTCAAAGGTTCTCCATTTCTCTTGTTTTCCACGTTAGCAAACAAGTCATCAGGCATAAACCCGAACGTTTTACGAACATCTGTGAATCGAGTCGCCCAGTAGTACCCACGCTCCTCTGGGTCAGGTTCGTACGGGTGGTCAAAGTAGAGATGCGTGGCCTGGGTCATAACGACCTAAAATGTACACAACAAAAAAATTATGGTTTAAATTAACTTTCTTTATCGTAAAATATGACGGATCTGTTTACTCAAGCAATTCCTTCATACTTTGCGTTCACGACTCCAAACCCAAAGTAGATGTTATTTTCACCAAAAAAGTTTGAGTTTGAAAGGGGGGATTCAACTGTCACCCCCCTCCCCTCCTTCCCATCCCAGCCTTGTACGCGTGAAAAGGCGCAATCATGATCGTACCCAAAGCCCACGTTTATCTTGTTCAGCACTGAGAAAAGACAGATGAGAGGTTTTCTCGCTGCTGACCAAGAGGAACGTGGGCTCTGGGTACGAGATTAGCACATGCGCTCAAACCCAAATATGAACTGTAATATAAAAGCTAACAGCAATCTTTTACCTTATAACCAGCATTGGCCAGCTGGTAAGCTCGTTTTCCACCTCCCCATTCCCAAATGTTATTCCACGCATAAGCATACACCTCTGGGGTCGTGATGAAACTCCTGTTATACGGGACATCTCCTTTACCCAGCAATCCGTCCTCCCATCCAGCAAGATTCAACCCTTTAGCTTTGGTTATTGTCGCCACGCGCTGAACAAAGTAGTCTTTGAGTTGATCTACGATATCACTGGCCGAAAAATTGAGCCCTCTTTGTTGAGCAAGGTTTTTGCAAGCACTTGACTTGGTCCAGGCTCCATGAGCAACTTCATCGCCGCCAAAGTGATAAATAGTCAGCGGTTGCTTATTTGTGTGCATGAGCACAACCTCCTTGATGATATGCTCTACGAATGTGTAGGTCGATTCAAGGCACGGGTTTATGGCGTCGTCCTTGAAATACTGTACGGAGAGGTATTCTGAAGGATCGTCTGCTTCTGTTAAAAGGTACTTCTGAGCTTCTGATGGGTTGGTAGAATTCTTTTTCTTAAATCTACCCTCCATAGATTTGATAGCGGCGTATCCATGGCCCGGCATGTCGAACTCAGGAATCACTTGAATATGGCGGTCACTCGCGTATTGTAAGATTTCTTTGTATTCACCGACTGAGTAGTAATTAGGAGATGTTGGCTCGTCAGGACCTGATCCTAGGTCAGTCTGAATACACTTGAGACCTGTTGGGTCGTAACATCTTTTGGAACCAATCTGTACAATGGCAGTACAATGATTTGAACTAAGAGTTAGTCTTAAGGTGCTGACACACGGTGCAACATTGCACCTAACAGGACTGTTGCAGCGTGTGTCTACCCCAAACTTATTCCACGCAACGTTGCATGCAACAAATCTGAAGTTGAATCGCGCTCTACTCTTTCAACATTGCGCGCAACAAATTTCATCATGTGAACATGGCTGCAACATTACCTGCAATATTTTGAAATTTCCAGCCAATCAGCTTGCGCCAAATTTATAACTGCTGACACAAGCAATGTTGCGTGATTTTGTTGTAATGTGTGTCACCCCAATTCAAATTTGTTGCTTGCAATGTTGCGTGCAATGTTGCACCGTGTGTCAGATCCTTTAAAGTGTTCCTAATGGAATCAGCCCCTAGGTTGCATCCTAATACCTGTTACCTATTCTCCTCGCGCTTCATAGCACATAGGGCCTTATACGTTGCATCAGGGTTCGATAAAATTCCATCGTCAATCACATGCGCCGCTATAGCGATTGTTTCTACTGTCGCGACGAGGAAGCTTTTGGTGGACGTCAATCAAGGCGTTTCCATGACATTCTATAGGCACGTGCCCTTATAGCTTTGAGTTTTCCGACAATGTTATGGAAACGCCTTGTGATTGACGTTCACCAAAACCTTCTTCGTCGCGACAGAAACAACCTTGATTATGATTGCTTTGCTTTCCCGTAAGACTTCAAAAAAGACATCAATAATATCTAAAAAATTCGAACAAAAACTTTCCACCACGATTAAGCAGAAAATCAAACATATATCTTTGAAAGCAAAACACAGAGCAAAAGTCTGCTTCCCACCTGAGTAGGTTCAAGTAAGTAAGTAACCTTTTCCTAGAAAAAGGCTTGACTCTAATACAATTTAAACAAATACCTGAGTAAGTTCAGGCAGCCCAGGAATCTCGAGTCTCCAACCCTCGTCATCCGACAAGTGGAAATGAAACTTGTTCATTTTATACGTTGCCATGGCGTCGAGGAGACGAAAGACCGCTGACTTAGGCATGAAGTTGCGTCCAACATCTAAGTGCATTCCTCGGTAACTGTATCTTGGAGAATCTTGGATGAACACTTCAGGAACAGAGTCTAGAAAAACCGAGGAGGAGGAACCACACAAAATGGTCAAAAGGCTTTTCATTTTGGCCATAAAGTTAGGTTTCCCTTTCGATTCGAGGTTTTATCTCCGGGATCTCGGTGTTTCTCCCAATCCCAGTCTCCCCCTTGAGTTAGCCCTGCCCTGACTTAGATCAGCCCAGAGGTTGTTTCAGGGTTTGAACTGTGAGTTAGCCGTGCCCTGACTTTGATCAGCCCAGAGGTTGCTACAGGGTTTGATCTGTGAGTCAGCCATGCCCTGACTTAGATCAACCCAGAGGTTGTTTCAGGGTTGGATCTGTGAGTTAGCCATGCCCTGACTTAGATCAGCCCAGAGGTTGTTTCAGAGTTTGATCTGTGAGTTAGCCATGTTCTGACTTAGATCAGCCCAGATGTTGTTTCAGGGTTCAATCTGTGAGTTAGCCATGCCCTGACTTA